GGAAAATTATCTTTAATTTCACTCCCTGAAGTTACTGCACTGGCAGTTTTAACATTCTGCCTTCTGAATGTTTGATTTTTGGAATAGTAATATTCTTTCATTCACTGAGAATTCTGTTTCTAAGGGGCTTTTCCATTTTTAGTATTATAAAGCCTTAAGAAATGTCTGGAGAAACTGTGATGTTCAGACCCACCACGTCACTCTTTTACTACTTGAGCTAGTGACTAGTAGAAGACTGGTACCTGGAGAAGCATGCAGAACACACTTACTGTAGGGGTTTTTCTTCTCCTTCTAGTAACAAAAAAAAAAATTGAGCCTATGGAATAATGGATTTGATTGCTGCTATGATAGGGAAATTGTGCTTATCAGTTATAGATCTCACTGGGTTTTGAGTAAATGTTAGAAAAGCAAAAGTTGTCTGGTGGCCTCCCCATGCTGATGTTCATACTCTTGGCCCATAGCGGGGAGGCACTGCATCTTCTAATTTAAATGAATGCCCACTTCTATAAAACATAAGCAAACTGCACTCCACAACCTCCAGTGGAATTCCTAGAGAAAGAAAGTCTTGGTCGTTAGCAACTTCCTAAATATTTGAGTTACTCGATTGTAACTTTATTTTTGACACTGTAGTTTCTTATTCAGCAAGGCAGCACTACCTGACACTTACAGGTGAAAACTGGTAGCGTTTAAGTCCTGTAATCATGTCAAATAATGAAGAGAGGGCTTTTTTTAGGTCTTCATGATGCTTTATGGAAGGTAGCGCATGAATGATTCCAGGGTGTGAGCCTGCACAGTTTTAAATGACTTACGTTCTTGCTACTTCTCAGAGAGAGATTGTCCCACAGCCTCAAAGACCTCTTGCTGTGTGGAAAATGCCTTTTCCTTTTCTTCTGCCTCAAATTTTCCATTAACAAATTTTTAACCCAACTTACACACCCACTCAGCTTGTTCGAACTCTTCTGTGTTTTTATGACCTTCCAGTGCTCGTAGACGTTTACTACATCCTTCTTGTCTAGTGGCCAGATTATGTGTATTGAATCTTTCTGTGTAAGTGTATCCCTTCAGCACCTAAACCTCTTTTGATGGAATTTCTCCTTCTTTGAATTCTTTCCCATCCTTCACTGCTCTTTGTCTCTGGACTCAGCTTGGAAATTCATTTCTTGTGAGCATTCTGGATGCCTCAGGCAATACAGGAAAATATAGTAGGGCGGTGCAAAGAGGAGGAGAAAGTGAGCAAGCCTCAAGTGTTTGGGATGGATAGTACTCAATGCAAAAGAAGCATGGATGCAAAAGTTGCATATTAACATCAATAGCAAGAACAGTACTTCACCTTCAACTCCAGTGCTATGCTAGTCATTATTTTAGGCATTGATGCCTTTCCCTGCTAGAGAAATAAAATAGCTCTGGGTTGACAGATGAGAAACAGCTGAAAGTAATTTTTCAGAAATGTTTAGTATTGCCTTGTATAATAGATGCGGTCAATGGCTGTATTGACAAGTTATATTGTAACATAGGCAAAGGAATTAGCATTTTGTCTTTGTAAATTTAATTCATTGCACTATTAAAACAGTATCTTGATTTCATTCCTTGTGATTGTAGGACACTGCTTCCAGCACTTAGCAGAAGGTTTGCGTATCACATTTAAGTGGAAATATCTACCTTTTATTACGTAGCCCAAGTCATGGATGCTGTTTTCATATCAGCTTTCTCCTGGCACAGGCTACTGTGGATGAATGCTAGGTCCTCCTCTTTTCAAGGTCTTGTACCAGCCTGCAGAGGTACTGTTTTGCATCGTTTCAGTCTCACTTTCCCAGACTGTGCATGTGTGTTAGTGACTTTGCCTTCTGGCCTTTGAAACGACGGCCACCGATTATTTACAGCTTCATAAATATCTATCTGTGGAGTGCATTACTTGAGGCATGCCAGCAAAACGTGACTTTTTCCATTTGAACTTGTTAGAAAGCAGTACTGAAATTCTGCATTACTGAAGCACGCAGCAGGCTGGACCCGTGCCGCACCGGGGATGACACGTACACCGTTAGCCACACCAGCACCCTGCCAGAATTGAGTGGGGGTCCCAGCCTGCACTCCTCTGTGGCAACCACTGCTTAAAGCAAGAGAGTGTCTGAGCAAGAGCCAGTGCCGCCGTGAGTTACACCTGACAAGAAACAGAGACATGGAAACCTGAATTCTGTTGCCCAGCTACAATGCGGATACCTGCAAATGAAGGTGCCAAGAAAGCAAACGTTCACGAGCTGTAGGCTATTTAGAAGAGTCAAAATTAACTCGTTTTAGAAATATTCAGGAAAATGCTGATTTGAAAGTAACCTAAATGCACTTTAAGAAAAATGCAGAGTGAATCCTTGGAAGTGTCCAAGGAGTCTGTCGTGCATTAGTGTGCTTAAAAATAGAAACAAAACCACCATTGCCGAGAAAAACACATTAGCTCCAACGCTGGTTGTTCCAAGGGCCCAAAACTGTGAACAACCCTGTTGGTATTTTTTTAAATTGTGCAGTTTTATTTTGAGTATTGACTTGGAAAGAAAAAAAAGATTCTGTAAGAGCCAAACAAATCACAGTCTCGTATCAGGAAGGTTCTCCGAAAGACTCTTTGGTGTGTGAGAACTCGTACCACAACAGCAAGAGGTTTGCTTTTGCCGGACTCTGAAGCATCATCCCTCACTGCTCCCCGGGGAACATAGTGGGAAGCAATAGTGATCAGGACTTCGGGATGCCCAAGTGGAGAGAGAACACGATGATGTTGGGAACTGAAAGGCGGCAGGCGTCCTTCCAGCTACTCTGTCAGACAAGCCTCACAAATCAAAAATCCTCTTTCAGATGCCCAAATTATGTTTCTGTTGGCTAGGGTTTTAAAAACTTTAAAGTTGCTTGGATTAACAGCTATCTTTGGCTTCACTTTTCACCTTAGTCAGTTGTTTGTATATCCTCCTGGCCTTCTCCTTGGCTTCATTTCACCGCTGCGTGTGCTTTAACTTTCTTCAGTTACTTTCACACTTGCACTTTTGAAAGCAAACCTGTGACTCCACAACGCGTCATGCCCTCGTTCTCCCCCTAGAAAATAAGAAAGTGGTGAATTATTTTTCAGCATCGCATACAGCTGCCTATCAAGTAGGAGTTTGCTCTGCTCCCTGTTAAATTAGAGAGTAACTTTCCACAAGACAGCAGCAAAAAGGAGGTTGCTTCTTCCTGTTAAATGCATTAAAGTATTGACTGGGGCGTATTTCTGTCCAGTTGTCTGCCATCATGAAGGCTTGTCTTCCAAAAATTTTTAAATTGCTTTGGTACCTGCCTTTAACAATGCTAAAAATATTGGCCTGGGAGAAGGCAGGAGTGGCTACGCAGTTGGTAGTACTATGTAAAGAACTGGTGGTAAGAAAAATGCCTCCTCCTCTGGGCATGACAGCAGAAGGAAGAATGCAGAATAAAATAAAAACCATTACGCTTCTCCAATTTTAAACATTTAATAGTGCACTGATTGAGTATATTCTGTACAGACATCTATAGCAAGTTAAACATTTTCCTTTCTCTCACGTAGATCAGTCATGTAAAGCACATTTACAATAGAAAACATACTTGAGGTACAAAAACCCAAAAAGAATATTCTGAGGTATAAATACAGGTATATTTTAAATAATCTTTATCATGCTTTATCTATGTTTGACAGTACACTGTGGGCAAGTATACATGTTTACAATAGAATGGTATGTACAACATACAATTTTACAAATTCAAAAGTGTTTGATGTAGAAGAATATACAAGGTTTTCCTACTCATGAGGAACATTGTTACTGGAAGTACTACATTATTTGCCATAATAAAAAAATCTTCATCAAAAAGCTTAAAATAATACTGACAATGGTAACAAAGTCTCAGTCAAAATTCCATCTTGCAACTCATTCATACCCTAGCCACAAAATACATTTACCACTTAATACTGCACCTCGAAAGCAAATCTTTACCTTTACAGTAAAACCTACAGAAAGACACCTTTCCAGAGGACCTCAAGACTTCCTACAGTTCATACAAATTGATTCTCAAGGAGGGGGGAATATCCCAAAGGGTTTAAAGCCCAACAAAACCCAAGACAAAACCTCACCCTCCTCTCTGCCCCCAAATATAACCCTCCAAATTGCTTACATCCAGGTTCTGCTCATGTTAATGTGCAGCTTTTTGGAGAACAGGCAAAGGAAGGAGAGAAAGGGAGAGAACTCGTGCGACTTCGTAGCCACCTGACCCCGCCTGCTGCCGCAGGAGTCCTGCCACCTCCCAACGCCGCAACTCCAGTGTTGACTTTTTCCTCTTGAGCCATTAGAATACAGTAAAATACATAAAAGCTAATTGAGCAAGTAAGCAAGTAAGAGCAACAAACATTTTTTTGGCAAATTAACAATTGACATTACTGGCTCTCTTCACTGTTGCATAGCCATTTCATTTCTAAGCTGCTATGTTGCCCAAAAGTATGTTTACTTAAAATTGCTATAGAATTGCTAATCATTCCTGAAAGATCATCTGGATAAGGAGTGGACAGTAATCAGAGCAAGCCTCTTGTAACATCTGCTTAGGGTTTTTAACAAAGTTAGAGCTGAGGAAAATGCAGAACTGGCACATGGGAAGGATGGCTACTCCTGGTCCACAGCGGAGTCCCATTCTAGGTTGAACTGTATCCAGCATACTAAAATCCATTCTGGTTGCCTATCAGTGTACCAGACACATTTCAAGTTCGACTTCTGCTATCCTTTCAACCGTTAACACACTCATTCACACTTTAATCTCTGTGCAAACCTTTCTCTGCTTATCTCAGTGAGAACACATTGAAGAGTACCAACTATTCCAGTGGATACACCAGTCCCTCAATGCACTATGAATAAAATGACATGGGTATGTACATAAAGCTAAGTATTTGCATTCAAAGAATTTTGCTTCTCAGAAGCAATTCAAACCATCTAATAGTACAATACTTTTTTTTTTTTTTTTTTTAAACAGTTCTCCTATGTATTCCAGTCGAGGCCTACACTATAGACCTTACACAGACAGGAAGCAGCTTTAAAGTGTATGGTATGGCCACAGTCCTATAGTAATGCTCACAGTCAAGTTCTCATGCTGTCATCCCTTCATGACATGACTTGCAGGTGGTACACTAATCCGGTCTTGCAGCAACGAGCCTCAGTTTTGGGTTGCTGAGGTGTGGAGCGCATGGCTGTTCCTCTTCAGTAGTCACCTGGATTTTACTTCCTTGCCCTCAAGACTCTGATGACTGAAAGAGTCCCGTATCTTGACGACTTCAGATGCGCACAAGTGTCCAAAAGACTTGGTGTACCAGTCTGGCATGTGGCCCCTGATGCGTGGAGAAAAAGTAATGATGAAGTAGGTACCAGTAACTTTGCACGCATTTTCTTAGAGCCAAATACATATCTAGCTGGTTAAATGCCTGACTGGGAAGACTCCTTATATATTGCTGCTCAGCTCAGCCATACTAATATATAGACTTGCTGAAAAACAAGTTTGCCACAGTGAGGAAAAGTTATGAGAAGTTTTGCAAGAACTTGCTCCTCTTTCTTTACTAACTTCATACTAAAATTAACATATCCTTACATCCAAATATATCTGTTAGAGGAAGGCGTGGGATTATACACCAATAGCTATGGTGGAGCACATACTGGAGGTTTCTAACGCAACAAACCACACCTGCTGTTAGATGTGCACCGAAGCCAATTTTCTGTGATGTCTCAGAGACCTGTGTGCGTGCCTTTGAGAAGTACGTACTACTGGCCAAGCTAAAGCCTGTTGAACCATCTAAATGTTGTGCTCACTACATGGAAACTATACAAGAAAAGTTACCACCACAAAAGGACAAAGTGGAAATTCATACCTTAAATCAATTCTGCACATGTAGGTAAGTTTAGATTTTCCTGACCCGCAGGGCTCAATCAGATACCTAGACAGGAGCACATTGACTCTAACGCCTGCCACTGGGGCACGGTCATGGTCCACTGAGGTTGCTAAAAGCACACAAGCTCCTTTGGGGAAGTTCGTCCTCCACGTTCTAAAAAAAAAGAAGCAAAAAAGTCTTGTCTTTGATAAAAAGCAATTCAAACATCTAGTAAGATTTCAAGTCATACACAAGCAGCTATTTACCTATATAACTTACATTGTACAGAAATTGTAGGCAAGGTTGCCATATGTGTAGGATATAAACACCATCGTGTATAAAAGTCTTACCTTAAGACTACGAAGTCCCTGGCTGGATGAGGTGCCATGCTGTTCTGGACATACTGGTATATATCTGTCTGGCTATCCAAAGGTTCGATTACTTTTGAATCTAGAAGATCTTCATCCCAAAGATGCTGCTCTTTAAGTAAACGATTTAAAACGTCCTCTGGCGTAGCTGGGATTTCAATGGTAGTTTTCCATAACCGGAGTGGAGGACCTTCACAAACCTGGGGGAAATATCAGCACAGTCTTCAGTTTTACCCTTCCTTACACTTTCTTTTCCTTTCTATTTTAGTGTTGGCTAAATACAGCAAATTAAATACACACACATATATGTATATATTGTACTAAGCTTGTCATAAGCTCGGACTAAGGTTGTTTTCCTAACAGCCAAAGGCATCTGCATGCTGACTTCGAAATTATTTTTAATTTACAGTTATCTTCTCCAGTATGGGCCACTATTAAATCGTGATGCTACAGAAAAATATTCTAATTTTCCAAGTTTATTTTTTAAATATCTTAAATCTCATTGAAACACTTCTCCCTCTGCTAGCTCTGAGCTGTGCAAGATTAGAGCTGAGAAACTTCTTCCCTACTACCTGCATAGTGACAGCGCTTGGAGGCTTCACTTAGCCTGTAAAGGCTTTACACGTGTAAGTGAAGGCATGTGAATGCAGTACAGCTAACATTCCTGGGCTGGACAAACAGAAGAATACAAACCAGCGCGTGTTAGCTGACCACCGCTGAAAGACATGTGGATTTTAGACACGTGCAACTATGTCAGAAGATTAAGTGTTTTTTTCTTAAACCTATCTGCAAAGTAAAGGTGTGCACTGAACCTTCTGTAACATCCTGTGTCAAAAGCCTGCTTATATTAGAGAAGGTGAGCTAAAAGCCAGAGCTGTGGCTGGGTGAGGGAAGGGGTACGTACCTTCTTGTAGGCCAGCTCTGCTTGCTCCGAGGTGGAGCAGCTGACCCAGCCTTTAAACTTCTCCTTCATCTCTTTGAGCAAGTCATCCACGCAGTCCTGGAGGTAGCAGTGGTAGTCGGAGGGCTCGGCGGTGCTGCTGCCCCCCCGGAGCTCCTCCAGGCTGAGGGGACGCAGGTCCTGCTCCGTGTAAGAGTTCCGTCCCCTGCTCATTTCTTCGGGTATCTGAGGGGCGACAAGGGTGAAATCATCCTCTTGCAGCTCTCTCCCCAAATCACAGAGTTCGTCTAGCAGCTCGATAGCCACAGAAAGATGGGTACACTAGTTTTGTAAGTGGTGGGATGCGTATGTGTCAGGTCAAGCACTCAATGTGAAGAAATGCCAAAATTAAGTTTGTGACTTTGATTTAACTCAAATTAGTCCCTCAGTTATGAGGTATCTTATTTTTCTCTGTGGACTATCCCTCTTCGCCACACAACTCAGATCCATTCCCACAGCACAGCTGCAGGCTGAACGAGGAGGGGTCAGTTGTGAGTCGCAAGGAAAGAGACAGACCCAATGTTGTGGGCTCTGAAAAGATTCTATGGCAGTGAGGAAAACCAGGACTCACGACTTGTCTGGTTCTCCATCCCAGGCCCTAGAGGGAGCGTGCTTTAGTCCCTATAGACCCTTCAACCTATGGTCTGACAGTGTCACATTTCAGGATGCTTTTGCGCCCCAGTCTTGCCAACTCTTGGGAATTCAAGTACAAAACAAGCACTGAAATTCATGGAAATAGCTTCTTGCTTTATAATTAGAGCTGAAGTTCACAGATCCTCATGGCTGCACAGTAAGAGCTTGAAAATATATTTCAAATGCAGATGTAACAAAAATGTCATAAACCCCACAACTGCCTCATGACTTAGTGCCAACAAAACAACTCTCCTTCTGGCACCACTTCTAATTCACCCAGATCAGGATGCAAAGTTTTTTTAAAAGCTACCATGTATTAAACTTTATTCAAATAAAGAGACATTCCTAGTTTTCCATTATACAGCAGATCTCAGCCATGTTGGCCCATATTCCACCCATCAGTTTTGCGAACAGGTGTTTTACCTGAAAGAGCTTCTTGCATTCAGCAATCATATGAGCTAGCCCCTGGGTTGCAGCCAGATTTTCATTTAGGTCTTTCTGATCAGGTTTTCCCAGGCTCGGTTTTCTTTGCATCACCCTTCACAGGGGAAAAGAGCACACACACACAAATCCAGTTATTTAATGCAGAGCAAGAGAGACACTTGGTAAAAGAACAGTAGGACTCCCCAATCCGCTGCCGATTTAGAGCAGTGCTGCCTAGGGCCAAATTGCGGCAGGGTGTTACCGACGTCCCTCGCTACTCTCTCTAAACTTTTTCTTTAGAATTCCCCCCCGTTTCTTCCTTCTTATGAACTTGCTTATGTTTTAACAAATCTCTACCTCTTGTTAGAGGTAGGATCCCATAACCGTTCTTCACCCGGTGCCCTCTGAGGTGATCACAACTGGTGGGGTCAATGCTAGACCATGTCTGTTGCACATTGCCACTAGCTGTGGTGAGGGACCAGCAGCAATGAGCCCTGCTCCCCAGAGACCTACCTTGGGGAAGAATTCTCTCTTTTGAGAGTGTTTAAGTGGAAGAGGGAAGGTGCTAAGCAGACGGCCAGGTTTGTTGGTGTCATCTGGTTTTCCTTCACTGCAGCTGTGACATCACTCAGGAAATACAGAAGAATCTGGAGGACCTCCCTGTTCTCATCGGGTAAAAGCATAATGGCAGCCTTGATAGCCTGGAGACGCTGATCCTTTGGCACATCTGCATAATATTAGTAATTCTCTCATGAGCCCATTGATTTTCCACACACACAGCATGAATACATCCCAAAGCAAACTCCAGCTTCAAATATTTGACTCGAGTTTGAAGTGATTTCCTTCAGGATGCATACCATTCGTAGGAATCATGAAGGAATTTTTTTTAACCCACTAGTTTAACTACCCTCAGCTATTTCCTGCCTCACAAGAAATGCAAGCAAGAAGAAGTTGTGCCTAGGCCAGAGTTAATTTTAGATTTAATTTCAACAGCTACATGCTCCCGCAGATGCACTAAAATGACAGAAGCCTGGAGTCAGGCAGTGAACAAGCAAACAGTCCAGCCAATGTAGAAATTCTCCGGCTTTGAAAGAAATTCAAAACATGAATACAATCTAGAATAGGTGAATTAATTAAGTAAATTGGCTAGCAAACCTTTTCAACAATGATGTCATAAAATATCCAGAAAGTCCTTTACCAAACACAGAGGGTTGCTTTATTGAGCATATCATTCAAAGTCATGTGGTGGAAAAAGAAAGTCAACGCTGTGAAGCCCCATACCATTAAACAGCTCCTTGGTTACTAACAACAAACAGCCATTGGAAAAATTTGATGTGTGTCTTTACATAAGGCCCTCTCCTCCAAACTTGAAGGGAACAAAAAAATGAAATAACCCAGACCACATCTGCTTCTTAGAATGGGATTTCCAAAAAGCCATCTCTGAAGACAACATCAAAGTCTGGAACATTTATATCACCATTAGCACCACACCACCCTCACTGCACATCTCCTAACACATGTGGTGCTAACCAGGTATTTAATTGGTGTTTGCTTTGGGCTTCAGCAGCTTTGTAAGGCTACCAGGTGAGTTTAGAAAGCAACTTTCAGCAAAAATCCACTGTTTTTCATACTCTCCCATCAATCAGCTGAAAGCACACTTAAGACACGTGTGGATAATTCCAACGTGCAGCCTGGTGCATAACACCAAAGCAAAGGGAAATTTTGTCCTTTGCAAGGAACCAAATTTACAGCTGCTTTAAGGTTCTTTGCTTCACACAGAGATAATACTTCCCAACCACCTCTGGGGATTCCTCAGACCTACTGCCTGCGAAAGGAACAGATACTTCTGCAATGCTCTGTCAAACTTTTTCTGGCACTAAACCCACGAAGTGTTGCTGTTTGATATGCACCGAAGTAGACAATCTGATTAATTTTCTCCATAAATCTTCTTGGGAATCCAAACAGACACAAAAAAATGCATGCACTGAAATAACGGTATGTATGCTTTTATTTTAAACTGTGACCTCTGCCTATGGAGCTCTGAAAGAAGTTCCTGTAACCTTTTTGTAACCATCATCATAAGGAAGGCACAAAATACAGCAAGGGCTCAAAGAAGGTGTTTTTGCAGTAAGTTCTGTTGTAGCTGTGCTACCATGGGAAGAATATGCAGGAAGAGAGCTGGGGTGGTGTTAGGGAGAGAAGCCACAGGATCAGTAAGGTGCCTATAGCGCACTCATGAATTTTGGACTAGTTTTGGTCCAGTTTGGACCCCCATGAATAATTCAAAATGCTTTGGAGTTCTGGTCGCCAAACATGAATTCATCTTTGGCCCTTTTATAAAGTGAGAATATTCCCAATGAAATAATGTTGAAAAAAACTTTTGAAAGACAACGTGTTGTTTGGGAAGACCCAGCACAAAATTACCATCTATACAGGACTCAATTTATCTAGCTCACAAAATAGAATGTCCCCCTTGGTAGAGCTGAACCTGCCATCTCAGAAAGATTAATTATTTCTTTTCACGTGCATTGATAAAATTCATTTTTGATGTGATTTCTTCTAAGCACTTTCTGTTTATGGTACCTATCACTAAAGTAGCTACAAGTCAGTAACAGAAAAGCTTTCAACTTAAAGGTCGTTTTCAAAAGTTGTGGTGAAGGATAGAAGAACATGAATTATAAGAAAATAGAAATATTTTGGCAGCCTTGCTTTTACAAAAAAACCTCAGTAATTTCGTGGATTTCTATCCCCTTGAAAGCCCCAAACTGTTCGTGTAGCGTTTGCATGGCTCCTCTATCTAGCCACATCCTACGTGGCTTATTTTCAAACCGTAATATCTAGTGTGCTCAGAGAAGGGAAGAAACTTTATAGCAAGTGATGGAGGATTTATACTTGTTCCCCAACTACAGAAAAAGGTGAAATGAAAAGAACTTGTACTGTAAATTGTTATACAACTGGAACATCAAAAATCAGTTCCTTATGAGGCAGCCTGAGCTATAAGGGCTGCTGAAGAAAGGCAAAGAAAGACCAACATATGCAACATGTGTAGTGCCCAGAGAAGCACTATTAGAAAGTTCCACCCTTGCTACATAAATGACCATTTGCCATCTAGCCACAGAAATCTCAGTACTTACATTGGTATATCTGTAAGAAGGTCTCGGAGAGTTTGTTGGTCATGAGAGGCTCAGGGAGATCACGGAAGAATTGCTTCAACATGTCTGCTACATCGTAAGCAGACTGGCCTTCATAGTTGACGCTGTCTGTTGAATTCTCATTCATTTGACGCAAAGCCTGAATTCTTGATTTGACTCCAGATTTCCTAAACAGTCCAACCTAAATACATATGGAAAGGTAAATACATTTACCATGAGTCTAGCAAATCTGAGATCTAAGTATGCTCTTCAGCTTCTTATGTATGGGTTCTAATTTCATGGAAAGCTTTCCTTGCACTAATTTTCTATTTTGTCCTGTTTTGAGTCTGTTTTTTCAGTCTGACCCAGGAACAAGAAAAATTAATGGCAGGCTGAGTTTTGGGTGCTGCGTGTGTGTGGGATGAGAGTACCTGATCCAGGCAGTGGTTGCGGAGGTACCGCATGGCTTGCTGAATGCTCTGTGGAAGAGGCTGCCCTGTGCGCTGGACATTGACCTGCAGTGGTACTCCAAACACGTTTCGGTCTTTGTAATCTGGCACCTTTATCCTCTTCATAAATTTTGGTACTGCCCTATTTAAGCAAAAGGAATGACAAAATTAAATTAAACCTCTGTTTCCCATTTACCGTATATATTTCCAGTAATTCAGAAAGTCAGTGAATATAAGGAAAACATTTTAGTAATATGAAAAGTAGCAACAGTATAAATAATTAGCTAATCCATTCAGAGCTGGAACTGGGGAGAGGAGAGAAAACAGAGTTTCTCTAAGGGAAAGGCTTGACATTTGGGACAGTATGCTGCCTGTAAGTATTAATGTGGTGCTACTCCATCAATATTAGTAGGACAAAAGCTACATGGTAAAACTGCAGGGGCCAGATTGAATTGCAAAAGAGTCAAAATAAATCCTGCGGTCAGTGACCCCTTGTAACACTGCTCCTTTAGGTTTCGGAAAAGATGGGCATTTGAACAATGAGCTTTTGTATGTCAACTACTTGTTCTGCAAAGTCCTCAAACTGGGTCCACCACCCACCAGTGTGCATAACAGCAGGAAACTGATGTAATACATTTGAGTTTGTCAGCTAAAAACTTCAGCTTTATAAACAACCCCTTTGAGGGACCCCCCTCCTTGCCAGCCAGTGCCTGTTGTTACCCCCACCTCCCACTCCACTTTCAATGAGAGGCCTTTCCATCTGCTTAGGGCTCCAAGGAAAAAGTTACTAAATACAAAAGAATGATTTACCCCCCCAGTCCCCAAGTGTATTGGTTTCATAAAAGGGAAAAAAAAAAGCCATTAAAATGTGAAAATATTGAGATCATTTTCCTAAACAGGGAGAAAAGCTAGTGTCCAGTGCAACAACTAATAGGAACACAGTAGCCCTGGAAAACAGGGAGACTTATTTAACATTTCAATATACAGTGCAGCTATACAAACAGTGCATAAGATTTACAGCTGACTAATCTGTTACATAATAAAACAGAACCAATTTGTATTGCCATATAGTTAAGTTTAGGGCATTATTGATATACGTATGAATAATACTTGCTTTGTCAAAAAACATGCCAACGGAATGTGAAAAAACACATTGCGATCTCCACTGAGAATCTGAGGCATGCAGGGATAACTGGTCAATACTTATTTCTGTCTTTCAGAACAAACAACTTCTGTATTTAGAAAGGCTGACATAATAACAGCCTTTGAACAGGAGGTACTTTGATGCTGAAGCTAAATACTCTCTATGACTCCTGGGGAAGGGAGGAGGCTGGCCTGTGGTAGGGAGAAGAAAAATTTTATTGCGTCTTTTGCATCCCGAAGGTACACAGGCTGTACTGCAGGTATAATAATAAAAGAGCTTTCTATTTCATTCTTCCGACAAAAAAAAAAAACCAACATTCAACTGGGTTACAAACACCTGGCCACAGCAGAAATTGCTGCCTACAAGAAACCTCCACGGTTCTCCCGACCTTTCTTCCCCCGCCCCCCCCATCCTTTCCACAAGTTAACTGGATTAGAGTGGTAGATTTATTGTGCTTTAAAGAGGGGAGATAATTTTTGGCTAATAAGACACTAGAATGAAAGGAAGTTTACGTTACTTAATGACATCATTTATATAAACTAATGCAAATATTTAAGAATAACCGAAGAAAAGCAAGCCTCTTCAGATCTGCTGAGGTTTGTGCCACTGCTCACTAACTAACTGCCTCAATAAACAACTAGTCCTTCTTTCGCTACGGACAGCGGACACCTTCCCGTGAAGGAAGCTGGCCTGCACGTCATTGCTTTTATTTCCTCACATGCCGCCTGTAAACATACTGCTCGAGCCTCATAAGATTACACTTACGTAAAGGGTTAGTGATTTTAGCCCTGTCTTAGGAAACCACAAATCACCGTCAGCGCAGGCTGGAGGAAGAGGTGCAAATATGGAAAAAGAGGGACAGAGGGATTCGTTCCATCTTTCCAAAAGTTGCTTAGGCCGAGCGCAACCGCCGCGCTTGCCTGTCTACACACGGCGCTGCGCCCTTACCAGCTGAAACCGTGCTTGTTGGAAGGCGTGTACTTCTCCAGAAGGGCAGTCAGCTTCAGGAGAGAGTACTTCTGCAGCAGGTTCATCTGCGCCACGGACTGGCAGTTGATCTGCAGTGACGCCGAGCTGAGGCTGGGCCGGTGGGAGCTCTGGAAGCTGTGCCACCTCAGCCGGTGCCTGCGGAGAAGACAGGACAGAGCAAGGAGCGGTCACCGAAACGCCCCTGCAAGATACACGCCGGGCTTACCGCCGACGTACCGCTGAGCTCCCTGCCCTCGGCAGCCGCTCTCTCCTGAGATGTCGCCGGCGTCGGCCGGCGGCATCGCTGCCTCACGCGCTGCCACGCAGGACGTGCGGGTGCTTCCGCTAGAAAACGAGCGGACCCAGGGCTCAGCATTAGCTACGCGGTCTTGCCCTATCAGACACCCTCCGAGGGCTCCAGCGGCCTCTTTCAGAAGCCCTTTCAGTATTAAGGCAGTGGGAATCAAAAAGCTCCATCAAGAAAAAACAGCTCAGATTTTTAAGACCCATCAAACGGGAACTAAGCAGTTCTAAAAGTCCCATTAAGTTTATACAAGCAGCTGCGCGCGACTAACTAACAGCAGAAACCAGACCCTAAACGTTTTGCACCAGTTTTAAAGGAAAACTGGAAACAAAGCTAGGAGCTCAACTCCTTGCTCTATTCACAACACAGAATAGTCATCCATCCCATGGTAAAACTCCCAACAGAAACTGGGAGGCCACTGGAGCTCCCTCAGTCCCCCACTGTGCTACAGCGATCAAGGGAAAGTAAACAAACCTCATTTTCCCTGCGGACTGAATGCCCTAGCATGCTATTAAGAAACAGCCTGCTACTGAAAAGTGCAATTTTTTGGAAGCAGTCTAAAAGTCAAGGCTTTTACTACACACTGACACAAACCAGACCATACTGGTTCATACACCGGTTCTCCTAGCCAACTCTGACAGTGAATAATCCTACTTGAGGTCCCCCTCCCTCCCTCCCACACACCATTTCAGTTTGAAGAATCACCATCCCCCAAAACTGCCTTAACATCGCTCCTAACGCCGACTTGCCGAGAGGGCTGTTTTTCAATGACGACTCACAAACATGCAGCTACGAAGTGTGGGAATCACTTGTCTAGAAGTCTTGCACACATACTTCCCTCGCCTATAATTGTTTTGGGATGTGATGGGAACAGCACATGCGCGCTTGAGTGGACACAACTTCTACTGCACTTTAACCAAGTGTGGTGCAGCTACTCTAGAGCCACTCATGCCGGAGGGGACCTCACTGGGGCCACCCCAACTCCCAGTGCTCACGATCTCACCTGCTGGACCGTGTCAGCGATGCGCCCACCCCAGAGTCCCTCCTGTCCTGCATCCCCGAGGGCTCTTCCGTTTCGTTCAGCGAATTCCCTGTACTGTCAAGGTCACTCGGTGTTGTTCGATCGTTATCTACATCGAGGTGGATCTGCTTTGGAGAGGAAGGGCAGGGGGAGATGGAGTCGAGCGCTGAGTCGGAGTCCCCTTCATCCGAGAACTTCTCTGACCACTGGTTTACTATTCTCTGCATCCCTTTGACGTGGTACAGGATGTCGTCTAGTTCTGGGAATATGTCTTCATTTTCAAGGTCGGCCAGGTCACTCGTACTGGAATACAAGATCGAGCCTGGCACGTTGTCGTAAATACTCAGGCGGCTGCTCACCGAGCTGGAAGAGTTGCGCCTTTTCCCCATGCCCAGCTCTTTGGAGCTGTCGCCACTGTTTTCCCGCCGGAGGGCGAGATGGCCATGTCCATGGAAACTCCCTGTTCTCCAGTTCACAGAGGCATTGCTTTCTGTTGGGGAGAAGTTGCCGTTGGAGAGTGCTTTGGGAAAAGTGCCAGGCTTATGATCTTCAGGGATAAAAAACACTGTATCTTCTGCAAAGCTTCCCCGGTTCTTGAAGTTCTGCTCCATCACGTCACTGAACGTTGACTGGTTGAAGGGGTCAAAGCCTTCCAGGTACATGCCCACCCTTTTATTGTATGCACTGAGGCTGCGTGTTCGTGTGACGGGACTGGGTGTGCTGACGGCACTGCTCGTCTCAGACTGACTACTGCTGCTGCTGGTCTGGGTGGAATTGGAGACGCTCCTCTTTCGTACCATGGGGAGGCTGATGTGATTGCCGTTGAGGGCAGAAATCTCCACGCAGTTAAGTTGTTTCAGTTTATCTTCATCCATGCCCTCCTGCAGGATGGGGCCGCTAATAATAAGGCCAAGCTTTGAAGGAGCTTTGCTCTTGCCATGATGAGAGCTCTTGATTTTCAGGCTCTCCATTCTCTTGAGCAGACTCTTTGTTTTGGACTTGGCGTTCTTCTCATTGGCTTTTGTATTGAAGCTGAAGCTACTCAGCTCCCTGGGCGAGGGCAGGCTGCTGAATGAGTCATCGTTTGCTACGAAATTGCTCGATGAACAAACGCTCACGACTGAGTTCGTCCTGGTGGTAGATGCCTCGCTCTGCAGGGTTGGTTGGTGGCTGCTGGTGCTGCTGGTGCTCAGAATGGAAGCCACCTCCTGGCGTTCGCTGAGGTCTGTTAGCACACTTTCACGGCTTGCCGCGTTAGTAAGGTGAGGAGCTTCTGGAGAGGGGGTATTCAAGTCTGGTTTTGGAGGGAACACATCAAACTCTTCAAGCCTTGACCACCTCTTGCTGTCCCTCTGAAAAGTCCATTTGCCACTTATTGCACAAGGTTCATCTTCATCCGAATCTTCGCTCTGCAAGGAAGAAGAACCCTGAAAATATTGCTTGCAAACTGCCAGAACAGCAAAGGCGGTTGCATTTAAATACAATGCCAGCTAAACTGCTTTACGCATCTTGTTCTCACTGAATTTAAAGTGGAATAAGTCTTACTTCAGGAAGATTAGGCCATAAAGCCCATCACAGGAAAAGATAACACGGGGCAGGCAATATATTTTAACAGTTTTTAAATACAAAAGATACATGCTTCATAAAAAGAAACAAACAATCCAATCTGCTTTAAATTGCTCGTTTCTAAAAACCTTAGTATCCATAGACTTTTAATTAATTGGTCACAGTGGAGAGCCCTCAGATCAATGGAAATTCCTAGCATGCATAAAATTTTAAACTGGAGTCAGCCGGGCGTTGGGGTCCCTCTGGACTCTCTCCAAAGTTACACTCTGTTGATAGTGGCTGTGTGTTTATACTCCTCTTTGCAATTATGAGATGTTTCTCATACGTTCTGAATCGTAGTGGCTTAAATCCTTACCCATTCGGGAAGTCTGAACGGTTTCCTCACTGTGACTAACGAGATAGCAAAAGAAACTCTTGCACTGCAAGAGTGAGATGCCTCCAGGCTCTTACCTGGTCCACTCTTCCTCCCACAGGCTAACAGCTAACATTTTAAGAATGTCCTGTGAAGTTTCTACTGCAGTCTCGCTCCAGGCAAACTTTAACACTCATAGATAGCGAGCAGCAAGAGCTCACTGACAGTATAGCACGTAAGTAAATTGTAAATAACATCTCCACTGACGATGTCTGATGTATGAGTAATGCCTGAGGGCACAATTACACGTACATCACTTACGCCTCCAATCTTTTCATCTAAATACTGAAAGGGAATGATCCGGGGACTGACATATTTGGTCTTCCAAATATCTGGAAAATTTCATCTTGGAAGAATAAAACCAACGAAGATATCTTAATACAACACCATGAAACTACAAAATAACCTTTGGTGTTCAGAGTAGGAAACACTAATTGCCACCCAGCTCAATGAATTTCACCTCATTTGTTTAGATTGTTTTAATTTAAAAACAAACAGACAAGCATGCCCCAAACTGTAACTATTTGTGTGCCAGGAACACAAATATTTATTCTCTGAAAAACAAGTAAATTATTCACATTTCAAGTATTTTATTTATGCATACTTTAGCTCCTGATCCTCTCCCAGTTTTTAGGTTTGTGGTTTTTTTATAGCACATTTCATCAGCTCAGGAAAATAAGTGAAACACCGTATTTATTTTTTAGAACCAAACACACATAAGACAGAGCAAGCGTCACATTCTTTGCTTCCCAACTACTACAAACTACTTCTGTCCATGATTCAGATGAAATCTAAGAGGAGTGGCTTGCTTATTAAAAGTTTTCAGAAGGAAAAAAGTCACCTGAAACTGCCAATAGATAATAATGATGGTTTGGTGGTGAACGTGGTTTGACTGGAGAAAGGGGAGCAGTAAAGTGATCTTAATTTGCAAAGAGGTCAATGCAAACATAAGGAAACATATGTCTCTGTCAGCACGATTTTTCCCTAGCGTTAAAAAGCTTTAAAATCTAAGTACTGATTTTAATGAAGTCAAGAACAAAAGGGAATAGGATCCAAGGCCATCTGCCAGAACATGGGTGGTGAATGAAAATCCGGAAGGACTGAAACAAAAGGTAATGTCCAGACTCCGGAAGATCTAGGGTTTGGACCTGAAGTCAGGTCTGGTCTGACCTCTAACAGCAATACTGATCATTCCAGTGTTAACAAGGCTCAGGAACAAGGAGGAGAAATCTTCTGGCGGTCATAAACGGCAATCCAGCTGTCTACTCCTACTTTTAAAGAATACCTACATACGCTGCCTCAGAGTGTTATCTTCTGGAGCTTGGATGCTGTTTCCAACATACCACAAACAGATAGGGAAACCTCAGAGCATTTGTATGCATTCTTGTTAAGGGTAGGGCAGCATTGTATTGCCTTAGCTCAGTCATCTTTATCTGCAGTTGTCATATCCCAGGGGACAGTATCAACTACTCGTCCCTCCTAGGACACACACATAGTTTTAAGACAGCTATTGAGTGGTACCTTACCAGCAAACACCAGCAACTCAGCTTTCTGTCAGTACTACCTTACTGAAATTACTTTAGGTGGTCTCTGATTTCTCACCATGCTCCACAGGGATCCTGAAGATTCAGGAAACGCTTTTAATTCCTGTTGAGCTCCCTGGAAACATGCAAACTTTCTAAAAAGCAGATGATGTATTCTGTAAATATATTGCTTTGATTTTGAGCTATGTATTTAAAAAACATGGAAACAATGTGCCCAATCCTACAAAGGATTGCCTCTTTCCTTTGCAGGCCAACTGGTCTAACTGATCCCATCTACATCATAATAAAATAATACAGTTCTAATGTGATGGCAAAGAACCAAAACTGTGAAGATGATGCCAAAGACGATGTTCTAACATTCAGGTCAGCTCACTGTGGCTGGCCAGGATCTCCTCCATCAAGCCTACCCCTTACAATCCTGCCTGAGTGCAGGTAAGACGCCGTAACACGGATGACCTCACTTGCAGGCAGGGAAGCAAGCCCAGTGCCTTTCAGACTGGGAGCAGCATCCCAGGGAAGAGCTTGCTAGACAAATATCCTCTACCCACGGCGAAGCCCTGCAGTTTTCACTCCGTGAGAACACAAAATGAGATGTAAGCAGAGTTTTGACTGTGTCCTTGCCAGGTTCTACTCAAGTGTTACCAGAGACTGCAGCTAAGCAATCTGCTAGATGGCATTTTTTTCAGTTTTATTAAGGTACAATGCTGTAACAGAAGATGTTAAGGGAACTTACCCTTTTCCTGTGCGGACTAATTTCTAGCTTCATCACTGCACATTTGTTTAAAGTATTTAAGCGCCTGCAAAGCAAAGGAAACCATATTAAGAGAACACACCAGTGTTTTGACACAGGCTATTCCAGTTCAAAAGCTTTTGTGAAGGCTGTCCCCAAACTGCTTTGCATACAAATAGCCACAAGCAGAGTTTCAATTAGAGCCCTAATTATACTTAACCATTAACCCATTACATTTGGCTGTATTCTAACTTCAGAGGGAGGGGTGGATGACTATTTGTCACAATTACCCGAATCAAAGTAAAGAGAAGTGAACAGAAACTTAGACTAAGTTGAGAAGTACATTATATCCAATGAATTGTAATAATTACATTTGTTTAAATAGCAGACATCTGAACCCTGAAACAATCAGTCTCGACAGACTGAAAATAAAGGAAAAGGCTTCTTATTTGACACTCTGTACATGTGCCTCTGAAAAAAAAGCATACTGCTTTACAATTGTATTTTATAAGCTAAAACCTCCCAGAGGAAAACTTATTTTCCACTTATTAGGTGTCTATTTTGTTTGTGAACAATAATTATTTTCAATACAGTCCTGTGACAAGACAACTCACCAGTTTAAAAAACAAAACAAAACAAAACACAGACCTGATTTTTCCTTCTTAAACTGGAAGTTTCTTTTATACATACAAACGTGAAATGTGACAGCAGTCTGGATGCATATCTTGAAGTACTGTATGAATGTCTATAAGCACCCCTCTATTCCCTGATGAGCTAATAATCTGGTAGGTACCCCTAAAACAAAACAAAACAAAACATCTTTCTTCTCCCTCTGCCCCAGAAGGTCAGTGCGCAGGGCTGAGCACAAACAGCTTAAAGCAGAGCAAAATTTGTCGCTGTTAAACACACGGCTCCATGGCAGTTTAGGCACAGCGAAGCCCAGGCTGCTGTGGTCTCCTGCCCTTCTCCCAGCCCTCGCCTCCCCAGAAACTGCTCCGGGGACGTGGCTCAGCTAAAATCCGCACTTAAAGCACGGTTAGAGAAATGCTGGTGCTATGGCAAGGCAAAGGGCAGGAACAGGGCTGGGCGCGATGCAGAAGGCACAAAAGCTGAAGCAGCAGCTTCATGGAAGTGATGGCTTGGTCCTTGTGTTAATACTTCCACTCATGGGGCTGTTCTGTGGGTTGGACAAGGAGACTAACCGAGCTGAAAACTAATCTTTCAATACTTCGTTGGGTTGAATTTCTTCCAGGTCAGTTTTCCGGGCTGTGTGAAGGGTAAGTGTGTGCAGGGGGGAGGTGGAGGAGCAGAGCCGCCCCCATCTTCAGCCACACTGCAGCCCAAATTCAACAGGAGCAAAACCGAGCTTTAAAAAGCCGAATTCATTCTGAAGGAAGTTGTAGAATTTTCACATAATTTGTTTGAGAAAAGTGTAAAGAAAAGCCTGTATCAGCAGCTTTGAAAGAATGAAAAACAAAAAAGAAGGAGGAAAAAGAAGGAGGAAAAAGAAGGAGGAAAAAGAAGGAGGAAAAAGAAGGAGGAAAAAGAAGGAGGAAAAAAAAGGAGGAAAAAGAAGGAGGAAAAAGAAGAAAGAAATGCTGACTTGTCCTGTTCCTTCAGATGAGTCTTTTCAGATTCATGAAACTTGTAACTTGAATCGAGAAAATGTGTGCTCAGGAAGAATTACTAGTTTCCTCTCTTTCCCCTCGCCTTTTATGCACAGGATTGGTTGCAGATGGTATTTACAAAGGACTTGATCCTGAGGCCATCAAAGAAAATGGAAAAGCTCCTACTGGTGCTTTTGCTGCAGTCGTGAAGTAAAAAAAAAAAGAGGCAGTTTGATCTATAATTAGACCCAGCCACAACACAGCAGAAAAGAAGAGAAACAGGAAGAATTGCCATGGGTCAAATAGTAGGGCAGTGGCAGGTTAGGAAAGTTATCCAGATCTCTCTATTTTCATCTTTGCTCTGACTTTAAAAGGCAGAAGTCTCAGTCCTGCTGGCTGCAGCTGGTGGGTACATGCACAAACCCAGTGAATTTCAGAGAAACTGCATTTACAGCGTGGGTGAAGGGTGAATGTCCCATCTACGTGCTACACAATAAAATTGGTATTTTGGTTTTTAAGAGGCCACACAGCAGCAGAAAGCAATCTCCCTCTCTTTGCTATAAAAACATTCTCCTCTCAAACTCCTGGACCTCAAGACCAGGGAATATTAATCTGGTTTCAGTTCTATATTGTATAATAATTTACAAATTTCACAGTGTTGCAACCTTTGACTTATGCAGAGAGAAGTTATCACTGAATCCCTGTATCAGGCTTTATCTAGCTCCAGCCTGTCTGGCTGCTAATAAAGGCAATCTCTGATTTCACTAAGATTATATCCCCAGACTTTTCTCCTACTCAAATTAAAACCCTGAAATAGGTAGAAAAGGGTAGAGCAAAGACCTCTGTTTCCACAGAGGGTGTTTAAGAAAAAAAAAAAAAAATCTCCCGGTGCACACCTCACAAAAATGAGTATGAAGGCAAGATAAGGTAACCCCCAATGAGCGAGGTTAAATACAATAGCAGCGAAGCAAATAAAGGCTCTGTTACACATTTGACATGATTTCATCACAGAACCAGTTTCCCTTTTAAAACCTAAATGCTCTGGGGCGATTGCCTCAGGTCTGCAACTTTCATTATATATATATATCACACATCCTGCTTTAACTTTTGCTCAAGTTCAGCAGTGCCCAGTTCCTTGAGCTGAAGGACACTGAAAACACAGTCCAATATGCAAAACTGCCTTCCAAACACATTAATCAGTCTGCAAAGCTCAGCTTACAAAGTTTAGGCTTTACCAAGACTTAGAGTCGTTACCTATACAAAAGAGTTACCTATACAACTGTCATTAACCTTCACAGATGCTTTGCAATACTTCTTAAGCATAGAAGCACACATTAATTTTCTACCTATCTTCTCATCAAATTGCTGCTTGCTAATGAACCACAATTTTCTCTCCTGGCTCCGGACCTTCTCCTTTGGCAATTCCATTCCCAGGTATAAATTCAACTTATCATTTCCCCACTGACAGTCAGCAGCTCTGCCTCATTCTTCAGCTCCGTCCTATTCTGCCCAAACCTGTCTCAGCGACACCTTCGCGAGGACAAGATGGGAGACGGAGGGACGGGGCAGGATTGCTGCAGACAGCAGTTATAGCCACTTTCGCTGTCTGGCTATCTAAGTCTTAATTTCTACAATGCCTCCTACCCCGTCCACTTTCTGGATGACTGTCCGGATGACAAGATAATATTCTTTCCAATCATTTAGATAAATACCTTTGAGTCAGCCCTCTCTCTATACATCTTCACAGCCAGATGGTATCTTACTCCTGTGGAGCGTTGTATCTCCGAGGCGTCACTTTTCCTTGCCCTCCATGTATTCCTACCCAGGCTCTTCCCTTCCTTCACCCCAGCTCTTCAAAACCCTTCTTCCTGGGGGTGACCAACGCAACAGGACCTGCCTCTCAGTCCCAGCCCCTGAGTCGAACTGGCCCGTGTCAGCCCAGAGCGGCAATTACACTGGAAGCCTGAACCTGCCGCACCCGAAACATGAGGCACTGGGGTTTCTCTCAGAAATGAGCAAATGATGCTTTTTTCCTAGTCTTCTCCTCAGAAATGGCCAAACTAGTATAGCCTGAACTCCTTTTAAGAAAGGCAGCCTGAGCAAGACATTCACTATCAAAAATTGCAGTGCGAACAGCTAACTTCAGCTAATTTATAAATTAAAATACAGGCTTATAATATGAAGCCTTTGTTAATCTAGATACCAGTCAGTTCTACGTTGGCTATAACCCCAGGTAATTCATTCTGCCCTCATTAACAGGAGAAAATTCTCACCCCACGCACCCAAGAAAAGTGGTAGCAACGCAGAATATTAGGCTTACGCACTTTAAACCACAATTTTCAATCTGACTAACTGCGTGATCTAGCTCTAAACTTTAAAATATTTTCTTAACGGATTTAAATTCTTAATTCCTTCTTACAGGGCAAATTCCACCTCCATTATACCTGTAACTAATCGATGATACGAGGGCTTTCTTGTCTCACTAGAGTGGACAGCCGCTACGCTGGCTCCTGGGGTTCATCTGCACGTTCTAACCTGCAAAGGAGGCCAGCCCTCTACGAACCAAATTACACGAGCAGTGGATGCTGCTCATGCCGATCCTTTACAGTCGGTTTCTTGGATGAGAAGTCCTGATGATGAAAAGATTTAAGAAACCGCTTGCGCGGATAGCGTGGCAGTTTTCCAGCTATGCGTAAGGAGATTAAATAGGGTTTCCATCATGGTTTGCTATGTATTTTGTACTGAGCAACAACCTTGAGGGTAAGCATGTTTCAGTACTTAGTTTCATCGGCGCATTATGCAGCCAGTTATCCTCTGGAGATAAATTCCCAGTCATCAATCTATATAAAGTCTTATGAAACTGAGGCCAGCAGTACTTTTGCGCAGTCACTACATCAAGCAACCTAGCAAATTAGAGTCATGGATCTTATATTTTTAACCCTGAGTTTCATGATAAGATCACTAAATGACATTTCTTAACCATCTACCTTCTACTGTTACCAAGCGCCATATGCCATCTCTGTAATTCAAGTCTCAACCCACTTTTCACTTAAAATTTTTCAAGAAAAACCTTAATGGGGTGGCTATTGATACCTTTTCCATTTAGAAAGGAATCTGGCAAAACATTTATGAATAAGCTGTTTTTAAAGTTACATTAGTTTTCCTGCTTCCATTAATGAGATTGTTAAACGATAATTTACAACACTGTTCAGATGTAAACTACGACTTAAAATGCTTCAAACTTAAAAAAATCCCGGTCACTGTGATTTCTACAGTCTTTTTAAAAATTATTTCTTCACATGCAGTAATTAGAACAAGGTGATCAGAACTGTTGACAGTGCACTGGCTGTTATACAGAAAAGCAGATTCTCCGTATTACCATCCACTGCATACAGTGTTCATGTAGCTCTGTGCTGAAAATACAAATAATTCCAAAACTATTCCAATTTTCAGTCAAGAAACAGTGATAGGCTTAAGGCTGTGAAACAGCTCTAAGGCTTTTACTGAGCAAAAAACCCTTTACTGTTTACACACTGACCACGGCATGAGTCAAAATAAACCCAGGCTTCAGGCAAAAATGCAGCATTCCAAATGATGTGCCTTCTCTGTGTTTTTTTTAATGAGCTTTACAAAATTAAACAAGGAGATGTGGAAAAAAAGATATCTAAAGGTGAAACATTTTGATCAGGTACTGATTTTGTCTAACACAAATGGTAAAGGGACAAATTCAGACATCTGAGATGATTAACTGAGTTACTTTGGTTTTATTTTGAGGTGGGGTCTGAATGCTTCTGGAGAAACTTTAACTTTGATTTTAAAGTTTTCTTGTAAAAGATAACTGATAGATAAGCCATAGGCTTCAGAATGGTACCGTTCAGCCTTTTAAAATCTCTGTCTTAAGCTACAGTATAGATAGATTTCTGTGCAATGTGTATAAGAATCCAGTGCATTCTTATACACATTGCACAGAAAAAAATTTGAAGATGAAAGCAAAGAGGCTATTTTACAATTAGCAGACTTATGAAGAACTTTCTCATTTCACAAAATATCTATATACTCCCATCAATTTGGCTTGCTTACCTTTATTAGAAGACTTACAATGTAAGTTTTATTCTTAGGATACAGACCTTTTAACTGTCCTCTATGTTCACTGAAAGTGCTAACCCACTAGCAGCAAATCTCAAAGAGATATGGAGGGCATATTCTTACTTTCACCACTGAGAAACAATCTGCTGCCTTTTCTTCCCATATAAAGAAATAATCCCAGGTTAAAAAGTATTCTCGCAGGCGAGCACTAGGTCCAAAACATGCTGGCTTGACTGTATTTTGTTTTCCTGGCAAGGGAAGACCATGCTTCTGGGAACCCGCACTCATGCAAATTGCTGTGCTTTCTATTCCATGACTTCACAAGTTCCAGAGCACGCAGATAAGCAGACCAATGCATCACATTTTAATATCGATGGAGTAGGTGCCCTACACTGCATCTCGAGTGTGAATTTAACATTAATGAGATTTTTGCCCTCCCAATGACTGGACGACAGTTCCATTTTCTTAGTTTGAAAATCTTATAAGTATTTCCGAAGAACTTTAAATTCCAGTCCCTCTCTTTAGCATGAGAACACTATAAACTTAAAGCCTTTCTTAAAAGGGTTTTGTAATTCATTAGAATTACTGACATTTAGAGTTGCAGACATCATGCATGTAGTATCCAAAAAACATTCATTTTGCAGACAATTTGGAAAGCTGCCATAATGGAGGCCAGGGGCGGAAAACTGCACTCATTTCTACGTAATAGGAGATATGAAAAGTTAAGGCACATTTTTGCCATTTAAGATTGCTGGACTCACACTAGAGGAGGTAACTGATGGATGGGGAAGTGCCCGATGGGGCCACTGCAATTGCTCTTATGATAAAATCGGTAATGCTGAGGCCGTAGCTCTGTAAAAACATGCTGCCACACACCGGCAAGTCTTGCTCCCTCTTTTTCTCTACCCATCCCTCCTCCTGCCCCTGCAGCTGTCTCTGGAGTCCTGCTCCATCCTTCACACCTATTCTGAACTTCATTATGCCTTTCCACCGGCTGATCTAATTTACTAACCCGGCAAAGAACTACCCAGACTCTTTTTGCAGGGTGAGTGACTTGAACTGGCTTGTTGGAGGAGCCCATAAACAAGAGATCTGTGATGAGAGCACATGGCTGAGGGCAGGCCAGCCTTTGCGGCGATGGTAAACCCTTGGATTCGCTCGCATTATCCCTTACCCGCATTCACTTTGGTCATCATGGCACCACAGGGTGAGGCACCGAAGTCAGCATGAGGGTTTATGCACAGAGCTTTTTGTTTTGCTTGTATACATAGCTGCTCACCAACGTGGGAGAGTAACGGAGAGCAGCAGCACGGCTTTGCTCATACTGCTCCCAAAAAATAATTCCTGTGTGAGAACCGATGCTACAGCTGTAGACGGCCACAGCCAGCACAGTTCAGCTTCCACATGCCTAACTAATTTGGGAATTAGTAATGAAAGCAAATTAGGAATAATTATTAAAAATGTGCCTATGAAATACCTCTCACAAAGACTCCTGCCACTTTTTTCCCAACTTTGTTTTAAATAAGATCCCCAAACATTACTTAGCCCATACTTTTCTAATGAAAACCACATACTGATAGTGGATAATAAAAAGGTCTTAAGCAAATGGTTATTTAACGGCACATAATTCACTTGAGGTTATGCTTTTCCCAGGTTATACTTTCTATTACACAGGAAGAGTCTTGTTTCAAAATGCTGTGTGGATTTTTTTTCACCTACCTGCATAAGGCCTCAATAGCATCTCTGTCCAGAAAGTCATGCTCTCGCTTGACTAGAGCGATGTCAATTGGAAAAAGGAGATCTGTAGGAATAGAGACAGATGAGGAATAACTCAATAACTCTTATTCCCAGTGGCGAGTTATTTCAGAACGACCAGCTGCCTCCAGTTGAGCTCACCAACACGCCAGTGATTGGCACTTCTCCCATAAACACACGTCACCAGCTCAAATGCCAGAGGTGCCTCCTTTTCATGTACAAGCTTTCGACGTGCAGCTTTGATAACTGAAAGTTCATATGCAAAATGGAGGGAAAAAAAAAAGAGCAAAGCAGAGATGAAACAATGGGAGAGGGAAAAAGGCAAATGCAAGCTCCCTATCCAACATCAGAAGCGTGAACTGATTCAGGCTAGCTTTATTTAAGATAAATATACTATCTCTATCAAAGTACTAGTATCTCACATTAAAGAAGGAAGGTCAGTAAAACCCAAATCTCTGGAAAAGAATGCAAAACAGAATCTCCTTGGCTGTTAATCAAGCTATTTAAAAGTTTGACACTGTTACAACTTTAATGAGACATGGACTGAAATGAAAGCAAGCCAAGCTGCGTGGAGCCCATTCTGCCTCCTTTCCTTAGGAGATTATTTAGATAAACAACGGGGAGAGTGAGGGGGAGGAAATAATGTTGGCAGAGAGCTGAAAATTTACTACAGCTCTGTAAAAGCAACCACATATATATTATTTACTGTCCTCCACAGATTCCTGACTGTCGTACAGGTCCTGATCCGGCATTCC